TATATATATATATATATATATATATATATATATATATATATATATATATATATATATATATATATATAAAGAGCAAAAGATTTGGGTGCATTTGATGCTCAAGTTAGTTTTTTATCAATGCTACAACTTCCCTTCTTGTTGGTTGTATTTTAGGTCTACCAAACTCATGGGCTATTCTTTATGATTCAATTCAATGCAATCTCCCATTGCATAAATACTTTTATAATGCAATTGTTTATGGTAAATAATTATCATTCCTTCAAATAAATCATCAGAAATCAACGTTAATAAGCAAGATTCCATGATTTAATCTTACATCCATCATGCCAACTGCAGACTCGCCTTCGGGGACTTTCACAAGTCCATGCGGTTGTTCTTGCTACACGAGATTAGACTGTTAAAGTATTTGTTGTCCATGCTTAGTACGACATGGACTGGATTGGATATGACCTGAGTGGAACAAAAATGCGTTTTTTTTTTTCTAGCTTTGGTGGGAAAAGAATAGAGAGATGAGACAAGATTTGTAAATTGTTACACTACCATGGACGTCTAGCCGAATCTCATCCCATTTCGTTCGCATATGAAACGAACCATGGACGAACTGCTCTTCCTTGTTGGTAATGTGGACAAGGATGAAACTGAAAGCTGTGATACCAGCAAGCTCGTCTAGCTAAGGCGTTCAAGGTGTCTGATGACTTCGGCAATAAAACAGAATGCGGGAATAAGCAGTTACAAATACAAAGCAAAAGCCGTTACAAAATTAGCAAATGGTGCTTGAGAATGATGATGATTCCCCGATATTAATCAGACATCACCACGATAGTGCTCATAACCATTATGAAACATTCTCATTTAGTTTTAAATGAAACTCACCTGATATTCAACTACTGTATAATTTGTACATTATATTTTAATATCTGTAAAAAGTCGTTTAAAATGCTTTTTAATTATAACCATTAGTCAAGTTATAATCCTTTTATTACTAGTTATATTATATGTCTACAAAGTCATAGATCCTTTATGAAAGCATTTAATGCATTCTTTGTGCATTAAATGGTTGTACCTTTGTGGATATAATGTTGTATTTAATTACCCTTGTTGGTAAATTTATTTGTCATTGGTTAGATTTTTAGGTCTACCAAAACAATGGACTCTTTATGACTCAATTAAATGCATTTGAGAATGCATCACATGGTTGTACCTTTGTGCTTCTAATGTTGTACTCCTTTGGTAAAAAAAGTTATCTTCCTCTTTTGGCTATATTTTAGGTGTACCAAGAATCCAATATGATGGGTTTTTTTGTGGAAGAGTTTGTTGGACTTTTTCAATGCATTAGATGGTTGTACTTTGTGTTTTTAATGTTGTAATACTCTTTGTGGTATTAAGGATGGGGATGTGTCCTGATCCGGTGGGGAACACGGCTCACTGACCCGAACGAGGACGGGGATTCCCCGCTAAAATGGGTCCCGGGGATCTCCGGCAGACTCAAACGGGGGACGGGGTCGGAGATTCCCGGTAGACTCAAACTAACATATATTTTTCATAGCGTTTGATCAGGGATGAAATGTTAATCCCCGTACTCTCTGGGGCCAAGGCCGAGGATTACAAAACTCAGCCCCGTTACCATGCTTATGTGGTATGGTTTAAAATGGTTGTACTTTATGCTTCTCATGATGTATCTTTATGAGTCGGTGTGTTTTTTCTTTCTCAATTATTGGTTACCTTTTGTACTATATTATCCAATTTTCATTAGTAAATTTGCTTTTCTAATTAACTAGAAATGTATTAATATAATGTATCATAGTATTTTTTTTTTTCATCTGGTTTGATTTTATTTTAGGGTAAATTGCATGAAAAAGATAATATATTTTAACTTGATTCTTATTTTAGATAACGTTACTTTTAAAACTCTCAGTTTTGTACATAAGATATAAAGTGTTAAACATTTAAATACCCGGGTAACCTGTTGAAACATTAACCGATTACCATGTTGATGTAGCGAGTGACAGAATGAAATTGGGTTGAATAGCAAATAATATTGAATTGGATACCACATCAGTAGTCACATCAGTATGGTACTCGAGTACTTAAATGTTTATCAATTTTACATCTTAGGTATTGAAATAGAAGTTCTGAAAGTACGTTACCCAAAATTGGAATCAAGTTAAAGTACGTTACTTTTTCATGCAATTTGCCATCTATTTTATGAATTTTTGTGGTTTTGAGAGAACAGGGGAGTTTTATCATGTTAATATTATTTAGTGTTTTTCTTGTATTTGAATATGTTTACCAGTAGTTATGAGAATGTGTTAATAGGTTGTATGTAGATAATAATATATAAGTTTATAAATAGTGTATTGCATATGAAAATTTAAAATTGTATCAAAAAAATCGAAAAAAGAATATTAATACGAGCATCAAATCAAATAGAATGAAATACCCGTTTTCATATTATTTATTAACTACAAGAAAATTAATATTTAAAAATAATTCAGATTTTTTAAATTAAGATAGATTTTTTTTATTATCCTGGATATCCAACTCGCTATGCGAGCCGATTAATCTCAAGGCGATCACCTGCTTTGCGGGTAGTCCGGAGTCACCGTATTTGAACCTCCGTGGCTACAAGGGATTTTTATTATTCCTTAGATTTGAACATGTGCCCTCCAGACACTTTTGACATTTAGATTCCAAACTCAAACCAATCAGACACGACTATTGTGATTAAAATGTTTGACAAGTAATCAAACATGTTTGACAAAATAAAGATATTTTAGATTTTTTTTAAAATTAAGATATTTTAGTTTTTTTTTATATTCTATGTACAAGTATACAACTAATCAATTTTCAAATATTTGACAAAATTAATGTTTGTTCTAAATTCTGTTAGAGCTAAAATGAATCGAGGAAACAATCAAATAAGCAGTTATTTTAAGCAAATTGTTTTTAGGACAGCGTAAAACCTAATTGTTCATGCCTGTAATAAAATAGTTATCTGAATTGATTTGGGATGATATGTATAACAGTTCATAACTCTAATTAGACAATTGTCATATGCATTAAATAGTTGTATTACAAAATATCTGAAACACAGTGTAACCATAAAAATTATTGAATTTTGCCAATGAATATCGTTTTTAGCTCTTGATTCCTCTGATTCAATTAGGGTTCGTAACTGAAACCCCTAAGTGGCAATTTGTTACATGGACACAGAGAAACAGGCTAACTAGAAGTGCAAAACTTTTTTGCTTATAAAAGTAATATAATATAAAGTTATAAACACGATATCGCTTTTTGTTAACTTAGAAGAAAAAACAAAGTAAAAACACCCAGTGAGATTGAACACTAGCACCGAGAGCCTCTTCTACACCCGAGAACACCAGCATTAGCTGTGATTGAGCCCACGATGGAAGATGGTCTGGCACTTAGGCTCGATGCCCTTGCGTAGCTTTTCGACGCCCCTGCCCCTGATGGTGTGAAATATGCACCGTTTAACATGAGATCTCCTTCAGATCGCCAGTTCCAGCTCTTCCACTCATCTTCTACCGCCTCTTCTCGTTTTGTCACCTATAATCATGACAATTAGAAGGGAAAGAAAATTTAATGAAGTAAAATGACTAAAATACCCTCAAACATGTTGTTAGATACTCACTTCTTTATTTTCATGATCATTAGGAGCAAGAAACCTATTTCCTTGGCTATTGATGGTAGGTGAAGCACTTCCCCCAATTGCATACATTTCCCAATGAGTGTAGTCATTGTTCACCACATGGAAATACCCATGTCTACATCTATATTTGCCAGAATCCAAATCAGTAATTTCATGTTATAACGAGTTGTTATTTATGCATTAGTAATCGTACAAGTCTATATTGAACTCGTTTGATGCACAGTTCAGAAAAATAATAGAAACATATGATCACATGATAAAAAAGAATCTTATTCTTGTTGTTTTGTCTATGTTGACAACATGTTTGGTACATCGTGTCAAAAAATTTGATCGTGGGTGTGTCGAAAACCAAAAATAAAATAACTTGAAGTATTTACCAGATACAATAAGCAGTTATCGTATCAAAACTGATGGCAATCAGTTCAGTAGTAATTCAAAACCTGTATTTTGTGTATAAAAAAATTGAATAACAGTCATTTAAACAATGTTGTAAAATATGTATTTTAGATATAAAATAATCTTAAAATACATATTTTAAAATAATATTTAACGGGTTTTATATATATATATATATATATATATATATATATATATATATATATATATATATATATATATATNTCAAATAGTTAATTTGATACTAATATCGATATATTTTTGTCAAATTTTTATGATATCTTCAAACATATATTTTATTCAAAAATAAAAACATAATCGCTTTCTCAAAATCACATAAAGCCATATTATAACATCGACTTAGATAAAGAATAAAATGAAATATTAAAATCATGATGTATCTCGCTGCATTGCGCGAGTACGCTTCTAGTTAAACCTAAATTAAGTTAATTCGTTATGTTAAATTAAATTATAATAAAAAATTTGAATTAAAAAAATAAACAAACAAGAACTTTTAATTAGATAATTTGATACTAATATTGATATATTTTTTGCAAATTTTATATGATATTTTCAAATTTATATTTTATTCAAAAATAAAAACTTTATCGTTTTCTCAAAACCACATAAAATTGTATTATATCGACATAGATTAAGAATAAAACGAAACATTGAAATGGAAATGTGTCTCGATGCATTGCACGAGTACCCTTCTAGTTATAAAAATAGATTTTTTTTAACATTAATAGAAATTAAATTCATCACTTAACTAATATTAAGTTCATTAACATTTTCAACAAGTCAAAAAAAATTCTTTCAACGACCTCTAAGCTTATGTTTTCAAAATTTCTTTTTTATATATTTTTATTACAACCAGGGATAGATCTGGTTTCATCCCTATTTTTTGAAGGAAAAACAAAAACAAAAACAAAAAGAGAAAGAGGGGGAACATAAGAGATAGAAGAAATAATGTCACTTTTGGAATTTCTAGGTCATTTAATGTTATTTACTAGGTAATTTTTTGACTTTTTAAATATGTGGGATACAAATAACAACCCTGTTTCTTCTATCTTTCTCTATCTCTTATGTTCCCCCCTCTTTCTCTTTTATTTTTTTTGTTTTTAATTATTAGATAATAATAATTATTTTTCAATAGTAACTAGTTGTGTATCCGCGCAATGCGACGGAAGCCGTGAATTTTAACGATTTTGAAGTTTCACTGGTTTTATTAGAGAAGATTTAACAATGATATAAGTTACACTTGGTCTTTGCATATTAATACAATTTGAATAAATAAGAGTTATGGTTCCAATCACAGTCTATCAATGGAAAAAATTGTATGACAGTTTAAAATCCAACATATTTAAACGACTATACAAATATGTTCGATTTACACTAAGAGCAAAGAATGAAGAGCTCAAGAGCGAGACCGAGAGTTCTAAAACAATTGAATGAGAGAACTTTTAATAACTCATGGTTAATATCAGTTTGAATCTCACCTTGGGGGATGAGAAGAAGACAGAGAGGTATGAGAGGGTGAAAACATGAGTGAAATGTGTCAAAAGTATATTGGGAACATGAAAAGAAAAAAAAATGTGCATTGGTAACTTGTACCATATGTTATTTTAATTGTAGATCAAGAGATTTTAAGACTAAATGCATAAAGTAGCAGTACTCAATACATTATGAGTTGTTTATAAGACTTTTAAAACTTTGTGCATACATGTATAGTACTTTGTGCATTAAAAATTGTTTTTAAGACTTTTGATAAATCTGGTTTATAAGGTAGTATAAATTATAATTTTGATTTGTATTATATATTAATCAGATTTAAAAACCATTAAATTGAAAAGGCAATACGCCTTGTAATTTAATATAACATTTATTTTGTAATTTTATAAATTTTAACCATATGTATATAGTCGTATGGTTTGTCCATATAAAAATCGAATTAAAACTTTAAAAATTCATATCATAATTCTTAATTTTTTAATTTTATCTATATTTTCATAAAGTATATTATTAATTCTTCTGCAACTTTAAAACTTCAGAAAATAATCCATCATTTTTATCCGACATTAAAACTTAAAAAGTAACTAATCAATTATTATTTAAGTTTTTTAATATTCAAATAATAATTTCATCAGTTTTTCAGCAATCTCTAAAAATTCAAATAATAACTTGTCGCTTTTATTAAAACTTAAAATATAAATTAGTTTTAAGTTGTATTATGTTTTATTTATAAAAAAACAATATCGTTGAAATAAAAATATATTAAAAAAGGAATTTTGAAAACATAAGCTTAGAGGTGGTTGAAAGAATTTTTTTTGACTTGTTGAAAATGTTAATGAACTTAATATTAGTCAAGTGATAGAATTTAATTTCTATTAATGTTAAAAAAATCTATTTTTGTTATAATATTAATCAATAAAAAAGTTAGTAACAAAAACATAGTTAAAAGACGTATTTTTTATATAAAATAATGAAAACAATAATAATAATAATTATTATTATAATCACTTAACAGTATTAAATTAATGACATTTCATTTTTTTCCTTTTTTATTATATTTATAAACTTAAATTTAAATAATAAACATATAAGTAAAATATTTAAAAAAACATGATATGTATTTTACTATTGTTATAAAAAGGAAAAAAAGAATTTCTATTTTCATTCACAAGAAACCACTTCACCATTCTTTGTTTATGATTTTGTTGATCTTTTATATTAAATTATTTTATCTGTGTAGCTTTAAATATTTATTTAAAAAAATAAATATATAAATTAT